AGACGCATCTACTCAAGAGACCTCTCCTTTATAATCAGCTGCCAGACCTTGCTTCGACGCTGCAGTGTTGACCTTAGTTTGGTTAGCAACCTGAGCCTTGAACCTGAAGAATCTTAGTTGTCTGTTGAGAGAGATCTGATTCTAACTCTCCTCTGTTTTTGCCTCACAGGAAACCTGTCTCTAGCCCGAAGCTCTGAATGAGCTTAACCTGCCAAATCTGCCCTAGAGAGCCTAACCTGAAGATTCCTATGTGGATTCCCCTGCTGCTCTTAGTGAAGAGCTGGAAACTCTGATCAAGGTCTGCCATTCAAAGTCAGAAGCTAGACGCTGCAGCTGCTCTTGAACTCTGCTGAACAAACAGTCTCTTAGACTTAGACTTGACTTTATTAATCCCTTGGGATTACTCCCTTCGGGAAATTGTATTTCCAGTAGCAGGAAAAATTGCACATCCAAGAAAAAAGAGGATGTTTAGACACAGTATATACAATAGAAAAAATAGAATCAATTAAACAAGGTGTAGGAAGATGTATTGGGGGATAAGGATAGACAAATAAATACAGAGGGCTATAGCAAAAACAATGACTGGGTCTCTGGACCCAACGGTTCCCTCTCTCTCTCTCAAAGAGAAGCCAAGACTCAGTCAAGGTAAAATCCTGAACTATCTAAAGACTCAATACTCATCTGCCTGCCTTCTAATCAAACTATCATCTCTGCAGACTTCAGTGAACCAGCCCGGACCAGTTCCTGATCCAGTACATTATCTTGTGTTTTGTGAAACGATCAATAAACTCTGTTAAACTTTTACCCAGCCTCCGTTGTGTTCTGCATGTGGGCTAAGAACCTTAAACCCATCATGACAGCTATTGGATGAATATGATTTGGGAGAAGTTCTGGTACCTCTTTCCTTGGAGCGGGCTCAAATCCGGTTGTCCAATTGGATCAATATTTTTATTAAATCCTCAAGTGTTTCAGGATTGTCGAGGGTGGCTAGTTCATCCTTTATGGAGTCATTGAGAGCGTTAGAATAAACACACTTGAGAGCCGCGCTATTCCAGCCAGAGGCTGCAGCCAGGATGTGGAAATCTATAGCAAAATCAGACACAGACTTCTGTCCCTGTTTAAGTTTCAGCAAATCACGGGAGCTCAGCATCTTATCCGGATCCTGGTTAAAAGTCTAACCTCTGCCCAATCCAGAGCTCGATCAGTGAGATGAGAAATTATATAGATCTTTGTAGAATCAAAAGGAAACTTACTTGGAGCGTGGTTGAACTGGATAAGACATTGCATGAGGAAACCCCTGCATTTCTTGGGGTTCCCATCGAACCTGGACAGACTGGGTAGCTGACACTCAGAAAAAGGGGGAGGAAAGGTTTCTTGGTTAGCTCAAGTTGGGGCTAGCTCACCGGCTGGGCCCGGAGCCTTGAGAGAAAAACTGACAGCCTCGGTTAAATCTATCACTCAGCGGTTTAACTCAGTTTGCTAGTTGAATAATTCAACCAAGGTGTTATCATGTCTGGTTACGGCAGTTTGTTGCAGATTGATGGCTCTCTGAATGGCCTCTGCTGGGTCAACAGTTTGGCCAGAGTGTTCTGTCATGAATCTTTTAAGAGATCTGACCCACATACAGAGAACCACTCAAAGAACCAGGGGAAAAGTTTAACAGGTTTATTGAGGAAATGACTACAGGAGTTGGATCTGAAATTTAGTGAACTGGTGAACCGGAACTGGAAAGTCTGGAGGGGAGATCACAGTGATCAGTTCAGGGACTGTAGGAAAATCGACTGAGGCCTAAATACTGTTGGAGTGGGACTAACATTTGAGGGGGTTCTTAATCCTTAAATACAGTCAGTGTGGGTTTATCCAGAGAAGAGGGAACTCGTTGGAGAATGGACAGGTAGACATTCGTTGGACCCGGAGGAGCAATGGAGCGGACTGTCACTTGGATTTCCGAAAGGGACTTGAATGGCACATGTGGATGTTTTCCCCTGCTCAGTGTGAACTCTGTTAATCCTTCGAGGGGGAGAAGGCCAGGCATCTATTTTCTCAGAAAGGCTTCCTGCCGAAAGGCAAAGATGAAAAACAATATTAGACTCAGAGGAACAAAGGCTCAGGTTAGACTCAGCTAATCTCAGCTTGGCTAGAGTACTCACAACTGGCAAACACTCTGACGTCGAGGTAGTGACAGTCCACTGCTCAAATACTCCTCAGTAATGATCCATCAAGCCACAGGTGTGCAGGAGGCCCAACAAGGACAGGACCTTTACACACAAACAACCCACACAAACTGGATTCCTAACACAGAGCGAAGCTGGTTAGAGTATATGGTAAAATGGATAGTTAAATTTGGTAAAGCTTGAAGAAATCTTTCTAGAAGCCGCAGAATACTAAAGACAGGAGCAGAGTTTAACATCCCTGCAGGACAATTAAATGTAAATAATTTGAAAAGCATAAACCTTAAATTTTCCAGTTCACTTTTTTCTTTCTTATGTTTGTCTTTCGTATAGAATTACACAGAAATGTATAGCAATTTTTCTATTGACAAAATGTGGAACAGTTTAAAGGGTATGAATATTTTTGTGAAACACATTCATGTTTGCTAAGTAAATCCAATCAAGTCTCTGAATAAAGGAGCCTCTATGTTTTGCAACTAAACCTTTCTATAAGAATCAATGTCTCCATCATGGCTAACAAGGGGGAGTGATTCTTTGGCATTTTGTAGCTGTCTTCCAACTCTGTCAGAAATAAAATAAAGGTGTAGCACAGGGTGTCTTTTTTCCAGGTGGATCTTCAAACTAAGTGGTCCTCCTAATTGTCAATCATTCTGGTAATATGGTTATGTAAGGCCATCCTACGTTCTTATGCCCATTTTCACTTACCATTGGTATGTGGTAAGCTTTTATGAGCAATGCAAATAGCCACGTTTTAAACAGAGCGTGCACAAGGAGAAATGGGCTTTTGTATGCTCTCGCACACGTTTAATAGGCGTTCCCTCTCAGGAGCGGGTACAGGGTTGTGCATGTCTATTTTTTTTAAGTGGAGCGGGCAGGGCTTTTCAAACATTCGCAAAAATCCTCCACTATACCTTTAAGATACCATGTGATGATGAAAATCCACTGAAACATGAGGGTCTTCCTTCCTTCCGTCCGTCCGTTGTGTGTACCAAGCAACAGCAACACTTCTTGCCTTCCAGCTTAGCTTTAACAGGGAGCAGTAAATGAGCCATGGATTGGAAAGAGGTTACCAGAAAGATGTTTTTGGGAGATGCACAAATCAAAGTGTCTGAATATCAAAGGCAGTGCACACAGAAACTCTCCTAACTGTCTGCACCACACAATGATTCATTGAAACCTCCATTGAGTTAAGCATTGAGCTGCTGAGGCGCAGAAGCTTATTTGCTTATAGAAGGGTTGAAGAAGTAACAGGCATCCCTGATGAACAGAAGGGAGACAGCTTGATTTTACTAGTTTTACTAGAAATTGTTTATCTTGCCTGCACAGATGTGAGTCTTAGTTCCTGTGTACTAAGAGTTAAAGCCTCAATGCCGTTTCAATCTGTAATATCCCCATGGTTAGCCTTTCAGCTTACCCTTTAAGACTGAGAACTACATTTTGCATTTGTCCCTGGTCGAATCAAAGTTCTAGTCCACAGTGAAAGAGGATGGCTGCCCCAGATTTTATTTGGATAGCTGGCTTGTCTTTGCTCACTAAAGCAGAGCTTTTCCCTTCTCTGCCCCATATTCTCTGATGAAAGAACCCCAGAATCAAAGGCTGTTAAGCACCCACACTGCTTCCACTATGTGTCTCACAGACACTGAGGGGATCTATAGGTGCATCCACAGACACTGGATCCAATATTTCCACAGATCCGATATTTATCCTAATAGCCTGCCAACAGCACTCACAGAAGAGGGACACTGGTCCTAATGCAGTTAGTAACTGACCAGAGAAGCAAGGCAGATTATTTTGCTGGTAAACTGTGATAATCTGCTGCTTCTGGCCTGTTTATCAGCAGAGGTCCAAATGAACTACACAGGACATCAACATCAAAGACATTGAACATGGCCTGGGGGGCGTTTTGGGGGGGGTCCCGCGGCGCTCGCAGCCGGTTCGCAGCGGATGCGCATGGGCCCTGGCTGCGGGCGGGGCCGCTTGTGTGTTTTTCTTGGGAGGTGCGGTAGCGGTGGGGGTTGCGGCCGGTCGCCGGGGCTTGGTGCCGGGGGGCGGGACGTGTTTCGGTGCTCTGTGGGGCTGGGGCATTTCGGTCGGTGCCGTGGGGGGGCCAGTGTTCGGTGCCCGGCCCTACTTCAGGGTGGCCGGCTGCCAGCGGAGCCCGCGGACTCGGGGGCCTCTTCGGGGCTGTCTCTCCTCCTCCCTTGGTGGGGGTCTGATTTCCGTGGCTGGCCCCTCCTTGGTGCCTTTGCTCTTGGGGTCCCTTTGGGCGCCTGGGGCTTTGGGTCTCCCGGC